TTCGGCCACTTGTTTTCTCTAACTCGTATGAAACTGTGCAGGAGGCGTGGCTGAAGGCGGCTGTCCTCCACCGCGAGCTGCCCTCGACGTCGGCGCCGTTCACGGCCACGGCCCCGGCCACGGCCCCGGCCTCGGCCCCACGTGCGGCGGAGGGTGCGTCTGCGCGGCTGCGCCCCCACCCGGCCGTCCTCCTGCTGCTGCTCCTAGTACTCCTTCTGCCGCCTCGTCTTCGCCCCGGGAACGATGCCCCCGTGGTAACTTTGTGGTCTCGTTTATACGTGGGGTTTTATTACTTCGCGCGTGACGGCCTGTCTTCACGATGGAAAATCTCACGGCATTTCAGGTCTTTCTCGGCCGTGCGCCTAGGTGTCGCATGATCGCCAGCATTCCTCGATACGGACGCGATCATGTGACATCTAGCGGCACGACCGAGAAACACCCGAAGTGCCGCGAGATATTCCATCGTGAAGACAGGTCCTCACGCGCCAAGAAATAAAATTCCAAGTATATTCACCAATTCAATGCTCTGAAGATACTTAACTCTATTGTACACAAACAGCATAGCAAAACACTTATTCTCTAAATGACGTGTCTATTGAAATTTTTATATTCTTCTTTTGCTTGAGCATTCTTGTTTTTTGTTTATTTTTTTATTTTACTAATTTTTAATGCGCGCAGAAATTAAAAGAACATTGTGCGTCCACGGGCCTTTCGCGAGATATTTATGGTTTTTCTAGATAACCACAAACTCAAGGAAAAAAGCAAAAACAATGAAACTTTTTATTTTGTAAAAAAATACAAATATTTGATTGTGGTATTCCGTCTATTCTCGGACAGCGCGAACCGACTAGATTGTGGTATTCAATACGTTACTACTTCCGACACAATAGGAATTTCGAATTTCCCTCGTTTCTTTTGCTCATGTTCTCCACTAGATGAGTTCGTTATGTCACATTGGCACTGACACAACACGGCAGTTTGACATTCTGAGAATTCCTCATTGTTGGGCGGCGTATGCTGAATGATGCGCTTTGTTGGATTGTCGAATTTGTGTTGATTTATTATATTTAAAAGAATTTGTTTTTGCACTTATTGTGCTGCAATTGGTAATGAGTTTCACAAGTATTGGCCGAGATTTGTTACTATGGCCAAAAATTGCGAAATTATCTATCGATCGTTTCTAATGGGAGAAAGTGCGTGCTGTTGTAGCAACACTAGTTTGAAATATTCGACGTGTTAAGGACTATTCTACTATGAAAACGTATGTAGGTTGGTATACTATGTATAATGAGCATTTTTTGTAAAAATATTTAATTTATTGCAGTGTTTTACGAGATAATATTATTTGTTCTTGACTGGTATACATGTTACATTTTTAAAACAATTTTGTGTGGTTTTGTTCAGCAGCACATTTGCTGCAGCAGGCTAGTATTTATTAAAATATTTACTACGTTGTATTGATCGAGATGGCTCACGGAGACAGAGCTCATTATAGTTTTATTTTTGTTTATCTTTGATGTGTGCGTCTAATTAAGATATTTTCGCTTGGACGTGGATCACGCCAATCAACGTTACTTAACATACAGTGTAAAGATGTGTAAGTTGACGCAGAGACATCTTAATCTTGAAATCCAATCTTTAAAGAAGCCGCATTACCAACTATCGAAAGTTACAGATACAAATCTTTTTTAACCTCTTGGCACCATCTCCGGGGACCGTTTAGAACACTAAAAGCGCCCCTAGCGATGAGAAAAGAAAGCCAGCTAGATGACATCTCTTTGACGGGAGGGGTGGCCGAGCACGGAGGGGAGGGGGAAGAATTAGCTGGCCCAGTAGGCGAAGTCGGGAGGTGCAGTGGAAGCGGTCGGCAGCGCTTTCGAGCGTTGAAGCCGCCCGCCGCTGACTGTTTCGTGAGTACGGACTTGCTACTCGTAGCTGCGTCTTCATCCTACCAGTCGCCGGCTCGTGAGTGTTTTTTTATTTATTTTTTATTTAAGGTGGCATCAACTTCTAGGTCATTAGCGACCGCTATTGCTTGTAACGGTATGGAACCTGTGAGAAAGATAGGAGGTGAAAGAACGAACACAATATAACCATGCCCGAGGCCGGACTCTAACCCGCGATCCTTTGGTCCGAGATGCCTACGGCACGGCTGCCTTAGGATGACACGAAATGATGTTGATAGGGGTGTGTAAGTACCAACACAATATAACCATGCCCGAGGCGGGACTCGAACCCGCGATCCTTCTAGCCGAGATCGCTTCGGCACTATGGCACTACTGCCTTAGCGATCTCAGTCACAGGATCGGCTCGTGAATGTTGGCTGCTTACTGTGAGTCACATCTTGCTTCATTCTTCTCAGAGGTCGTCCGTATATTAGGTAACGCTGAAGAGGGGGAGGGGGTTTGAGGCAGCGTGCCGCTGCGTTACATAGGAGTAGAGGGGTCATGGGTTAGTGTTGCGTGATGCTGATATTTAGTTTTTAAGTCTTTTAAAACTTACTGAAAAAAATCCTTTTATTCAGTCTTGTACAAAAACATTTTCATATTAACGAATTAAATTTAAAATATAATAAATGAAAAAAGTTATATTCTATAAATTGTTACAATAAATGAAAATATTTTTCATCAATTTCATCATTGATTGAATCTTTTAGATTAAGAAGAAAATATTCAAAGTGAACAATTGTATATTCTAGAACTCAATTAGTTGTGCGTCATCTCGGCGGCTTGTGCTCGGCTTGTCATTTTCGGGCCTACACGTCCTTCCGTCATTAAAAAATTGTCACCAAACTTATTGTTATGCGCAGTCCGTACCACCAACTAATTCTCACGTCAATTATAATAAAGTTTAATGTTTTAACACAAATAAAATTACTACTGCTCGTTTCTGCTTTATATCGGGTTTTGGAATGGCTAGGGGTGTAGTAAGCGTTGCATTATTATAAGAGGGGGGTTCAAGCACGCATTACAGGTGCGTCACATGGAGAGAGGGTATTCAAAATACTCCAAATTTGTGCATGCTAGTGAAGAGCGCGAATCGTCCCTTACGTTGGAGCTTGCCATATTTCTCTACCGTGTGCGCCACTATACTGCCTAATGGAGGTTGCAACAGTCCACCGATTTCTTGTAGTAGATTGTAGCCTATGTACAGGGCTGAATCTATCATGCAGCTAACTAGTCATGACGTCTAACATTGAATGAGCATTCTTTTATTTATTGCACGTGAATGAACATGTAATAGGGCAATTAATTTCTGTACATTGAGCTTTGTATTTAAGCTGGTATTTTTACTTTTCCTCCCCACACCTCGCGACGTCACCTGAACAAGACAATCTCGAATTTGAAGTCAAAAAAGCCTTGTTTAACGTGTTTAGTCTTTTTCTTTTGAGCTGTAACTTACCACCATTAAGGTTGGTGACCGCTGTTCTAAAGATGGTTAAGATTCGTGCAAGTGTCGAGGACATACACATCCTCAAAATCGGGATGTTCGTCTGTCGATCTGACGATCTGTCGGCGTGTCTGTCTGTCTGGATGGATTGGATCACAGCCGACCCTAGTTGCCCGTGATTAGATAAATCGAATGTGTCACACATATGTCTCATTACAAGCTCTGCGCTGAAACTTTGCAAATATAGAAGTGTAAGATCTATTTGTACAACTCCGAAGATGTTAAAATTTAATTTATAAAAATTGCATATTTTCGATTTTCATTAAAATTCTTGAAATTTTGAAAATTGCAGATATCAATTTTATTTTCGAACCTTCACTATTCCTCCCATATTGAAGCCAGAAATTTCTTTCTCATTGCAATTTATTCTTGAAAGTTAGATCTTTAAATGATGTCTTGCATATTTTTTTTAATAAATGATACTAACGTCACTAGTGACTAGGGAGACCAGTTACACTAACTACGGACCTTTCAATAGCAGGAGGCCAAACTCTAGTCTCATTATTTTCTCTAGATAAATATTCACTATTTCTATGTGCTGTGAAAAAATTAGCAACCGTCACGCAATGGAAGTTTCTTAAAAAATGCGAAAGTTATACTCTTTTCACGGCAAAAATCGCCGTTTGCACCGGGTTTGTGCAGCTCTGCGTTCGGTGAGAGTATGTTTGCCGAGAGCTTTCCTACGGGCTCGAGCTCCAATTCAGGATAGCGAAACACTAAGTTAATGACACTGCTTTCGCCCTTGATTCAGCCCACAATGCCGCATGGCAGAGCACCACTTCTTCAGGACACCAGTAATTATTTGAAGACTTTGAGAAACATTTAATGCCAAAGGGTGCCGGCGGAATGCAGGAATAGTGAACATTGTTTGCGACATTCTATTATTTTTGGCACAAACGTACATATGTATGGTGAACGGTGCAGTTGAATGCGTTTGTTATACACCCCGACTGAATCTAAGAAACAAAAAAAAAATGTAACTATCATTTTTTTCGCTTCACAAGACAGCTCTGCGCTTCTCGGAAGTTAATGATTGGTTGATTTAAATTATTATAAACAACAATAACCTAGTATCGCCTTCGCTCAATGCCCCCTTGTCGAATATGCGGCGAAATATATTGTCAGTGAAACTCGGAACAAGTGGGGAATCACTGGAGGCCTAACTTTGCACTAGTGAGGGTGCCGAATGTCCACCCTAGAGGAAGGACTCAACAAATTCCCTGCGTAAGTAACAACCCATTTGTAACGTGGTGAGTCGAGCCTTGGGACTAGTCATGGTCACAGTCACAGGCTGAGATGCCAGGAGGGGGAAATCCCTCCAGGTATGTGCACGACGTGCATTTCACCTTGGAACGTGGGAGGAACACCGCCATTTCCCGGCACATGCCTTTCACTGCACTCACGTGGTTAATGACGCGCCCGGAAACATCAATGAGTCTTTCCACCGCGGTGAGCTCTGTTGACGGGGGGGGGCGTGGGGGTAACAAAAGAGGGCGTCACCAGGCAGCGGCGAGGGGCCGCAGACACGCAACCGGGCGGCGGCAGGCGCCATGGCGTGGACGCTGCTGCTCCTGTGCTTCGGCCTGCCGCTCGCGCTCGCCCCACGCGCCCACAACAACACGCACGAGGTGCGCATCGTCGGCGGCTTCAAAACCACCATCGACAAATACCCCTTTATGGTGAGGGGCGAGGAGCAGGCGGACGCCAGGGCACCCAGTGCGGGCCGTGGACTGCAGTAATCTAAGCACGAGCACGGCATCTTAGCGCCGGAGTAGTCCGACGTGTGCAAGCTAGCGGTGTTCCCGGGCCTAGGCCCTGCTTTACTTGTTGTCCCCGCCTGCTGCTAAGCGAGACATGGCGAACGTGACGGAGTTCCAACACATGGCCTAGCGTTGCTAGGTGGTGACCTTACGCCTACAAATCTACAATAGCCATCCACATTTTCCCCACAAACAAATTAAAATACTATTCTAATAAACTACTCGTAGAAATAATGCAACAACAAAAAATGGTTCAATTAATGAACTGCCTACAAAGACCTATTTTATTTCTGACTAATCACATTCATACGTACCTACGTAGATAACCCTCATTTACCGAAGTCTGTACATAAACAAAAATACCCACTCATACATACATCTAAAATACTTACGTACATGCATACACATATCTACATTTGTACACATACATAGGCAATGTACTTGCCCACATACAAATGCATAAACACATATACATACACCCAGATACATAGTCGTATTAGTATTTTAAAATATACAAATTACAATATGAATATAAGTCCACATCTAAAAACATTGATCGCGCGAACTTTCCTTCCACCTCCTTGTCGTATCCTCACCCCTTACTTACACACACACACACACACACACACACACACACACACACACTCTAACAAGCACTACACTACCACACATGCCGGGATACCGGTCGGGAGTTTAGAGCTTGTCCCAGCTTGGGGCCCCGCTGGTCGGAGATACGTAGTGGAGGAAACCTCTGCTAGCCGACGGTAGGTCGGCTCCGGATCTCACCGGAAGATCACAGCAAACTACCGGGGGGAAACATGCACCACACTTACCGGAATAATTACCTTAGCAGTTGACTCGTCCAGAAACAATAATCCATCAGTGAAACTGATGGAGGGGAGCTGGTTTATAACCTGGCACCAATTCATGCATTTGAACAGCTCTGACTAAGAACATCCTCTGACATCTTGGGACTTTGCAATGAAATCCGCTTTTTCTCCTCGATCTAGGATCCTATCTACTCATTCTAATGCATGAATTAGAAAACAAGCTGTACCTACGCCTGCTTATATGAAATAAAGATATTTTACATAAAGCACGTCATTAAGAATATTATGTGTTCACAAATAATACCCTAATGCTGTAAAATGTCACGTAATAATTATTTTCAGACGAGCGAATGTTTTCTTCAGGTGGATATTCATAAGAACGAGAGGCATCACTGCGGGGGCACGTTGTTGACCATCGATGTGGTGCTCACTGCTTCTCATTGCGTCTACAAAAGGCACCTCTACGACTCCCAAAGACGGTTAGTGATACCACAGCAGAAATACATTAAAATGCACCCCAACTTTAATTTATTTTGACTTCTCCAATCGCTCAAAAATGTATGTTACATGCAGAGAAGAAGCACATTTTCTTGAGTTCTAGGACGTGTATTGCTACACAGATCGATTACTACAGGCTAAGTTATTTGAAAACTGGACCTTTTCGTTTCTGAGTAATTGAAAACATATTTGCATTAACAAACGAACTAAAGATTGGATTTTATAGTATTGCAAACAAAACAATATTCCCGAGTTGCTTTACTTCTCTCCAACTTCCATAGGAGAGCGCGTAATGACGCAGCATTTGTCCAGAAGCACATCAGGCACCTCAGCAATTGCTGAAGACGAAAAGAAACGGGACAGAAAAAACAAACGATCAAGATGGGATTTTTCAAAATATTTAATTTTATTTATTTTCGTTAAAAACCTGTCACTTTATTGACAACCCTTGAAAGATGGCTCTGTGGTGATAATGGACTAGGAATAACCATGTGAACAAATTATGTTTGATTCTTTTTTGAGAAAACAGTCCTCTGCATGCTCTTGGATATTTAAGGTGAAGGTTATTTTTTGGTAATATACTTTCATTTATCTTTAAAAGTACCGGAAACCAGAAATGCAGTTTATCAATGATGTACTTTTAAAGGTAATGCTGCAAAGAATATTGCTAATTTTTCGACAAAAAAATTTATTTTGCGGGATCCTGATATCGAAAATGTGTTTTTTTTCTCTATCACACATATAGAAATTTACTTTCTCGAATATATGAGTAGTCAGAATTTGCGCTTTGTCGGTATTGAATATCGAAAAAATGTTTTGGAGCATTTCATATATTTGTTAGTCTCTGTGAACAACACAAGCACCTAAATCATACACCGGATTTTCCTAAAAATTGTATTCACTTGAAGTAGAAAGCACTTGACAACCTTCTCTAGCATTATTTCCGAAACGTTTGTATGCAAAAATACTTTGTCAAACTGTATTCATCTTAATATGTTAAATAGCAAAAATGTTCGCAATTGAAACTACACTATGTTATCAAAAGTATACGGTACGTGACTGAAATTAACTTACCAGTTCGTGGGACCTTCATTGGTAATGCTTGAATTCAATAAGGTGTTGACGCACCTTTAGCCTTATTGACAACTTCCACTTTCGCAGGCATACTTTCAATCAGGTGCTGAAAGGTTTTTTGGGGAAAGGCAGCCCATTCTTCACGGAGTGCTGCACTGAGGAGAGGTATCGATGTAGGTTCGTGAGGCCTGGCACGAAGTCGGCGTTCCAAATCATCCCAAAGGTGTTCGATAGGATTCACGTCGAAACTCTGTGCAAGTCACTCCATTATAGGGATATTATCATCGTGTAACCACTCCGCCATAGGCCGTGCAGTATGAACAGATGCTATAGTGTTAAAAGTTACAATCGCCATCCCCGAATTTCTCTTCAACGGTGGGAAGCAAGCGTGTGTTTAAATCATCAACAAATAGGTCTGGGCCGTGATAGGGCCACACAAAACAACAAGGGGTGCAAGCCCCTTCCATGAAAAACACGATACACCCACGCCATTACACCCTTTTGGACGTGTCCGGATACTCATCACATAGTCTAGCTCTAATTAAAACTGCACATGTGCTGTCCTCTTTCGTTCTGCACTTTCACGAAGGATGCCTTTGTTCTTCCTTCCGCCAATCAAAGTCTGTCTTTTAACTACTTAATCTAAAATAAATGTGTTTCAGACTTCATATTACGAAGTTGATAATTGAATCGATGATTTGAAAAGTAATAATAAGTCCTTGTTCCAACTGAAGGAAGAATAAGTCCTTGTTCCATAGTTCTGCAAGAAAACTTGCTTGGCATCTGGGACATTTATGTTCTACATACGTTGTAGACCAATTCGTTATTAATTGCTTGAGCTACTCTGTAACTTAAAATCTGCATTTCTGTTATGTACAGAGCCATTTGCATACTATAACCGCCTCCTGTTTAACCTTACCCCCCAAGGGGCGTTAATCTTTCAGATGGAGGGGAAACACCTCAGTGGTGATCCACTCTCCAGGCTTCCTCGTCATCTTGCGTAGACAGCTCTGCCTGGCCGCTCTGGAACGGGGTTGGCGAGGGATGCGTGCGTGATTAGGCTTGAACTGAATTGAATTGGTGCCTTATTTTACGTGGCGACACTCAGGCCATGAGGCCTTTTCTTCCGTCTGACCACGCAAATTTCGCTACGCTCCTTTCACCAACTGGCAGAGAAAGGAGGTATTTCGTGGGCGAGAAACAGGCGATTTGAATTTAGCTCAGAGACGTCGTTTAGAACTTTTTACATGCAAGTAAATCTAACATGGGACAGCCGGCTTTACTTCCCCTCCGAAGGAGGGCACCCTTAAAAGTCCACGGCTTCGATCGGATTAGAACCCGCTAACTTGGGTACAGCAATGCGGTACGCTAACCATCGCCGCGCGCAGAGCTTGTGCATCGCAAGGCGCCATCGCATAGAAACGTGCGTGCCTAATCGCATAGAAACACGTAGAGAAGTTCAACAATTCCCGAGGTGAAGCAAAGTAGATCTTAACTTAACCTAAATGACGCCTGGTGATTGCCTTAGCGCTCCATGCGGCCCTCTAGCATGGCGGCGGCGATTTATTTCTTGAAGAGAAACAACGAAAATGTATATCTCGAATATCTTTACGAAAAAAGTGGACTAATTCCCCTTTTAAATTCACCGATTCAATTAATGTCAACGTTTGAATACTTCGCTTCCTGTCGGTGGTGCGTTGATAAGTGTGTGAATCTGTGCAAAGCAGGTACGTGGCACATAGTCCTCGCAAGTTCCGTGTGTTGCTGGGATCAACGTTCAGCCGCATTCGGAACGACGGGAAGCCAACCACGCGAAATGTCTCATCCATCCACGCGCACCCGCACTTCAAATTCCGCAACATGCAGAACGACATCGCTCTACTGAAGGTACTCGTTCGAACTAAAAGGAGACCAAAGATTGGGCACAGCGCGAGACGATTTAACTTAATTTTAATATATTTTCGTCAAAATCCAGTAAAAACTGGATTGATGTATGAGGAGAAGTATACTAACCTCTGCACGTTTCCGTCAACTCCTCTTCCCGCCCTTTTACTAACTATGAATAGTTCAATTGCAATAAAAGCACATAGAAAGCGAAATTATTATTATTATTATTATTATTATTATTATTATTATTATTATTATTATACAATTTCAAGCCATACTGTATAAATATTCCTAATTCTATTCCTCTCGTGTCTGTGTTCTTGTGGTGTATATCCTTATCCATGACGTCACACTATTTTAAAATATGTATTTTTCTATTTTGCAGCTTTCGAAGCCGGTTAACCTCTCCCATGACATACAACTGGTGGATATACTACCCTACGATCCTTTGCCTGGCACTATATGCACTGTTTTAGGATGGGGAATCTCACATCAATTTGGTGCGCGAGATGAAGTTACAGGAACATTTGTAAGAACATTCAGATGTTTTTACTGAATATTTTTACGTTCTACTTATTTAAAAAAAAAGTCTTATTGAGAAAACCAAATAAGTAAATAATTCTTATTTTCCCATTAGGCACAAAACCAGTTTCTTTTTATTTTTTCCAAAGAGGGTCATTTTATGTGTTTATATATAGTCTTTAGTGAGTTTGAATAATAAACAAATGGCATTCCTAAAATTAAAATAATAATAATAATAATAATAATAATAATAATAATAATAATAAATTAAAGATTTCCTTTCTTGTAGCGCCAGTATATCAACTTACGTGGTTTCTTTTTTCGCCTTCACGTTTTTCTCCGTGAACTGCAATAAAACTGTAATAAAATCATCCATACGTGGTTTTCACTTTAAGGTGATGATAAACTGTTACTGTTCGATTGTTTATTGTGTCCTAAAATATTCTGTAAGTCCACACGAGAAGAACAGTAATTGATGGCGTCTAATTGCAAACTTTCCATCAAATATTGTTCAAACAATTTTTACTTTTTACAGAATCTTATGATATATTGTCAAAATTTGTATTCATTTGCAGTTTTAGATCTTTTTGGTAAAGATCACAAAGGTTTTCCATCACGTAATTCTTATTGTCAAGCAAATCTTAATAATGATGAACTAATGGTGCTATAACAGCACGTACTTTCTCGCCTTTAGTAATGGGTATGTAATACTATTTCCACCACAATTTCTCTCCAAATTAACACATGTCAGTTATCATTACTTGACAAACGTATTTAAAATCGTAGAACATTTAGTGCGAAAATTAAATAGTTTCAAGCAATATTTTTTTTATTCAAACCTTTAAATGAAAACATATTTCTGGCATTGAATTCGTTGTATAAGGTGTGCAGTGTATTCACGAATAGAACCGAAGAGTTTTTAGCCTTATTCTGCGTAAGCAGTAAGTGAGAAAATAACATATTTAAAAATGAATAGATAATGCGGCCGATCAGATAGCCGAGATCACTTAAGTAGGTGTGCCATAGCTGTCTCGGACCAGATGATCGCGGGTTCGGTTTCCACCTCAGGCATCGTGTGTTCTCTGTATGTGTGTATCGTCCTCTCACCCCTCATTATCATCATCATTTCTTCTTCCGTGCCTCCAGGGCTAACAACCCTGAGGGATAAAAATCGGATCCAGCTAAATGCTGAGTTCCTGTGTGGTCCAAGTCAGCCTATTCGCGAGCAAAAAAAAATAGTATATATAATATAATAGTAACTATTGAACATAATAGTATTGTAGTAGAAGGATGGAGTAATGGAGAAGGGAGGGTAGCGAACAAATCGGCTTTTAGTTCAAAAATAGACGTGTAATATCTAAAACACTGAAACAAAATACTATTAAATTCATGAAAACGTTGATATATTACAAATTCTATGAAATGCTAGACACATTTGCATGCATTATGCCCTCAAACAAATATTGTACATATTTTACAATTATTCAACTCTCCCA